TCTCAATGTATCCATCCTGGTATTATTTTATGAATAAAATGATAAATGAATAAAAAATAGTCACCGAGATAGACTGCTCCTAGTATATATCACAGAGACAGTCCCTATCAGTCACCGAGATAGACTGCTCCTAGTATATATCACAGAGACAGTCCCTATCAGACACCGAGATAGACTGCTCCTAGTATATATCACAGAGACAGTCCCTATCAGTCACCGAGATAGACTGCTCCTAGTATATATCACAGAGACAGTCCCTATCAGTCACCGAGATAGACTGCTCCTAGTATATATCACAGAGACAGTCCCTATCAGACACCGAGATAGACTGCTCCTAGTATATATCACAGAGACAGTCCCTATCAGACACCGAGATAGACTGCTCCTAGTATATATCACAGAGACAGTCCCTATCAGACACCGAGATAGACTGCTCCTAGTATATATCACAGAGACAGTCCCTATCAGTCACCGAGATAGACTGCTCCTAGTATATATCACAGAGGCAGTCCCTATCAGTCACCGAGATAGACTGCTCCTAGTATATATCACAGAGACAGTCCCTATCAGTCACCGAGATAGACTGCTCCTAGTATATATCACAGAGACAGTTCCTATCAGTCACCGAGATAGACTGCTCCTAGTATATATCACAGAGACAGTCGATATCAGTCACCGAGATAGACTGCTCCTAGTATATATCACAGAGACAGTCCCTATCAGTCACCGAGATAGACTGCTCCTAGTATATATCACAGAGACAGTCCCTATCAGTCATCGAGATACACTGCTCCTAGTATATATCACAGAGACAGTCCCTATCAGTCACCGAGATAGACTGCTCCTAGTATATATCACAGAGACAGTCCCTATCAGTCACCGAGATAGACTGCTCCTAGTATATATCACAGAGACAGTCCCTATCAGTCACGAGATAGACTGCTCCTAGTATATATCACAGAGACAGTCCCTATCAGTCACCGAGATAGACTGCTCCTAGTATATATCACAGAGACAGTCCCTATCAGTCACCGAGATAGACTGCTCCTAGTATATATCACAGAGACAGTCGATATCAGTCACCGAGATAGACTGCTCCTAGTATATATCACAGAGACAGTCCCTATCAGTCACCGAGATAGACTGCTCCTAGTATATATCAATACAGAGACAGTCGATATCAGTCAAATCGAGAGATAGACTGCCCTATATAAGAGACAGTCGATATCAGTCACCGAGATAGACTGTCTAGTATATATCACAGAGACAGTCCCCTATCAGTCACCCGAGATAGACCGTTCTAGTATATAATACAGAGACAGTCCCTATCAGTCAACGAGATAGACTGTCTCTAGTATATATCACCCAGACAGTCCCCTATCAGTCACTGACTCAAAATAGACTGCTCCTAGTATATATCACAGAGACAGCCTATTATCAGTCAACGAGATAGATCAGTTCCAGTATACATATCACAGAGACAGTTCCTATCAACACCGAGATAGACCGTTCTTCTAGTATATAATACAGAGACAGTCCCTATCAACAACGAGATAGACCGTTCTAGTATAGTATCACAGAGACAGTCTATATCAGTCACCTAGATAGACCGTTCCTAGTATATATCACAGAGACAGTCCCTATCAGTCACCGAGATAGACTGCTCCTAGTATATATCACAGAGACAGTCCCTATCAGTCATCGAGATACACTGCTCCTAGTATATATCACAGAGACAGTCCCTATCAGTCACCGAGATAGACTGCTCCTAGTATATATCACAGAGACAGTCCCTATCAGTCACCGAGATAGACTGCTCCTAGTATATATCACAGAGACAGTCCCTATCAGTCACTGAGATAGACTGCTCCTAGTATATATCACAGAGACAGTCCCTATCAGTCACCGAGATAGACTGCTCCTAGTATATATCACAGAGACAGTCCCTATCAGTCACCGAGATAGACTGCTCCTAGTATATATCACAGAGACAGTCCCTATCAGTCACGAGATAGACTGCTCCTAGTATATATCACAGAGACAGTCCCTATCAGTCACCGAGATAGACTGCTCCTAGTATATATCACAGAGACAGTCCCTATCAGTCACCGAGATAGACTGCTCCTAGTATATATCACCGAGACAGTCCCTATCAGTCACCAAGACTCAAAATAGACTGCTCCTAGTATATATCACAGAGACAGTCGATATCAGTCACCGAGATAGACTGCTCCTAGTATATATCACAGAGACAGTCCATATCAGTCACCGAGATAGACTGCTCCTAGTATATATCACAGAGACAGTCCCTATCAGTCACCGAGATAGACTGCTCCTAGTATATATCACAGAGACAGTCTATATCAGTCACCGAGATAGACTGCTCCTAGTATATATCACAGAGACAGTCCCTATCAGTCACCGAGATAGACTGCTCCTAGTATATATCACAGAGACAGTCCATATCAGTCACCGAGATAGACTGCTCCTAGTATATATCACAGAGACAGTTCCTATCAGTCACCGAGATAGACTGCTCCTAGTATATATCACAGAGACAGTCGCTATCAGTCACCGAGATAGACTGCTCCTAGTATATATCACAGAGACAGTCCCTATCAGTCACCGAGATAGACTGCTCCTAGTATATATCACAGAGACAGTCGCTATCAGTCACCGAGATAGACTGCTCCTAGTATATATCACAGAGACAGTCCCTATCAGTCACCGAGATAGACTGCTCCTAGTATATATCACAGAGACAGTCCCTATCAGACACCGAGATAGACTGCTCCTAGTATATATCACAGAGACAGTCCCTATGAGTCACCGAGATAGACTGCTCCTAGTATATATCACAGAGACAGTCCCTATCAGTCACCGAGATAGACTGCTCCTAGTATATATCACAGAGACAGTCCCTATCAGTCATCGAGATAGACTGCTCCTAGTATATATCACAGAGACAGTCCCTATCAGTCACCGAGATAGACTGCTCCTAGTATATATCACAGAGACAGTCCCTATCAGACACCGAGATAGACTGCTCCTAGTATATATCACAGAGACAGTCCCTATCAGTCACCGAGATAGACTGCTCCTAGTATATATCACAGAGACAGTCCCTATCAGTCACCGAGATAGACTGCTCCTAGTATATATCACAGAGACAGTCCCTATCAGTCACCGAGATAGACTGCTCCTAGTATATATCACAGAGACAGTCCCTATCAGACACCGAGATAGACTGCTCCTAGTATATATCACAGAGACAGTCCCTATCAGTCACCGAGATAGACTGCTCCTAGTATATATCACAGAGACAGTCCCTATCAGTCACCGAGATAGACTGCTCCTAGTATATATCACAGAGACAGTCCCTATCAGTCACCGAGATAGACTGCTCCTAGTATATATCACAGAGACAGTCCCTATCAGACACCGAGATAGACTGCTCCTAGTATATATCACAGAGACAGTCCCTATCAGACACCGAGATAGACTGCTCCTAGTATATATCACAGAGACAGTCCCTATCAGTCACCGAGATAGACTGCTCCTAGTATATATCACAGAGACAGTCCCTATCAGTCACCGAGATAGACTGCTCCTAGTATATATCACAGAGACAGTCCCTATCAGTCACCGAGATAGACTGCTCCTAGTATATATCACAGAGACAGTCCCTATCAGTCACCGAGATAGACTGCTCCTAGTATATATCACAGAGACAGTCCCTATCAGTCACCGAGATAGACTGCTCCTAGTATATATCACAGAGACAGTCCCTATCAGTCACCGAGATAGACTGCTCCTAGTATATATCACCGAGACAGTCCCTATCAGTCACCAAGACTCAAAATAGACTGCTCCTAGTATATATCACAGAGACAGTCGATATCAGTCACCGAGATAGACTGCTCCTAGTATATATCAC